GACACGCTCTCCATCATTTGCTTTTATTATCGACCGAACCTTCTCTGTTCTGAAAATCAAAAAATCTTCTTTTGCAGAAGACCGAGAAGTAAGACATAACAGCTTCGAACAGTAGTATGTGCTCTAGCCAAGTTGTGAATTGCAAAGTAGATATATAAAACAACGGCAAACGTTTGAAACGGAGGAAGTCGATTGCTGTTCAAAGAGAAATACAGAGTTTTTCAAGTGGGGCGCCCAGATCTGCTTATCTATGGAGAAAACACCTAATTTGGGCCCTAAGCCACAACAGAAAACAAAACGAGGGTGTTATTAACCTTGGGAGGGGCCGTATTATGTCAACATATAAGCATTGTTGAGTCGTGTTAACTGTACACATGTGAATACCGGACAATCGTGTTTAACCTTGGAAATCCTGTGAATTCTTGTCAAGTACTGCGTAAGCTCCTGTCAAGCTTTTCGAAATGGCACTATCCATAATTATAAAAATTGGCAAGTGTGACAGGAGCTCACAGGGTGTTTGACAGGTGGTAGCAAAGCTTTCAAGTGCTGACGAGCTCGTCCAGTATTCACAAAGGTACAGTTCAGAGAAGTGGATGGGTTGACAAGCGCTTATAGGTGTGCACTCCCCCTGTCCCTGTGAGGTTACTAGTACAGAAAAGAATGCGCTAACCTGAACAATGGCGGGATGCCGTCAGCTGACAACGACTCTCCAGGATCGATTTCAAGACAAACCTGGAAAATAATTCGCTCACGTATCCTTTATAATGATCGTGACCATGTGAAAAAAGCCGTATACATAAAAAATAAAAATAAGTCTCTACTGAACCTGAGCTTTAGTCTCTCCACACTCATTCTTTGCTTCACAAGTGTAGACACCTTCGTCCGCGACTGACACGAAAGCGAACTTCAGAGTCGCACACTCACCATCGTATGACATCACATATCTAGAAAATCACTTCTTCGCAATTAAATAGCGCTGCGGGGACGGTATGGCCCCATCACTACAAGGCTTCAGGCAATTGAACTTGCCCTTTCGTTTTAGCTAGCACTTGGAACCATCTAGGGATCTCAAAACTCAGAAGC